ATTTGCTGATGTAATGTACTTAAGTACAATTTTGATATACTTAAGTGCTGTATTGTGTATATATTGGGGTATAAATCTGTAATTGTAGATAATATACCAGTAGTAGTAAGTAGAATATGTATTGTACATTACATTCATTCATTCATTCATTTTCTACCACTTAGTAGGGAGGGGCGGGAGCCAATCCCGGCTGGCAATCGGGCAAAGGCAGGTCACCAATCCATCACAGGGCCAACACATAGACAAATAACCACACACACACACTATGGGCAATTTAGAGACACCAATCAACCTAAGCTGCATGTCTTTGGACTGTGGGAGGAAGCCAGAGTACCCGGATAGAACCCACGCAAGCACGGGGAGAACATGCAAACTCCACACAGAAAGGTCCCAGGTGGGGCCCAAACCCAGAACCTTCTCGCTGTGAAGCAACAGTGCTAACCACTGCGCCACTGTGCTGCCCTGTACATTACATACATTTTTTAAACTGAAGAGCCAGTTGACCTTCAATTTCATATATTTTCAGAAGGCACAAAGGGCCATTTGGTACAGTCGGGCAGGTACAGGTGGACCCAATATGCAGACACAGAGACAGTATTGGAACAAAAGAGAGTTTATTAATTAGATAAGGAACGGGTTACCGGTAGGAGGAGAAAGGAGAATAGAGGCAGAGCATGTTCTGGATGGGTCAGGCAGACTTTGTTGGGTCGACCGGAGGCAAGGTAGTCATGCAGCATGAAGCGGGAGATGAGATGGGTAGACTGGTTTGGACTGGGAACAAGCAGACAGGCAGCGTGGAGTTGTGGACAAAGGCAGGTAGACAGAGTGGAGTCACACTGGATACCAGGGCACGCAGGTAAGTGTGAAGGTAAGTTGTGCACTCAGCCGGGGAGGGGGTAGAAGATGTCTCACCACGCCGGATATCAGGATAAACAGGTAGCGTGCAGTCGTTTACTCAGCTGGAGAGTAAGTTGGAGACATTTCACCCACACCAGAGATAAGACTATCAGCAAAGGAGAAGAGGCAACAGGGGAAACATTGAGCCAGGAACACAGGTAAGGAATAGTCGTCAATGAATCATAGGGGGCACACCGAAAAAGGGCGTATATATAGTGACTTGAACCAGGCGATAACAAGCGGCAGGAGGATGCAATTACGGATGATTAATAAAGCTGGGGAAGGTGACATGGCAGAAGCTGGAAGTATATAACAAAACAAAGTCATGATGGCGGGAAGCAGGTCCAAATCGTGACACCACTTGTCTGGGTACTAAGGCCTAGGTGGGAGGAGAGGCGCAGTTGAGACTGTGTGTATGCTAATGAGGCAACACAGTGCAATTTTGGTGCTCGTTTTGACCCAAAATAGTGATAAAACCTGCTCAGACCACCTCTTATCGCTGTTGCAGGTGTATTCAAAATTTTCCTTACAAGCGGGAACCATGAAATTGGGTACCCACATGCATTTTAATGGACACACCAACTTAAAATTAACCCTTAAATCCACAACTGGTCTGCTGGAATTCACTAGGAATAATTTATTGCATGTCATGAAGATTATTTTTAAATAAGATAAATAAACCCATCCCCAGCATGTGTCTATAGCTATGAATATGTTTAAGAACATTATTGGTGCACGTTAGGACGCACCATCTGTAGCCTACTTACATGATGCAGCCAGAGGTGATTTGCTGTCAGTGATTGGGACTCTAAATCTATGTTAAAGAATAACACATAATAACATGAAAGCAACTCATGAGCCATGATATTTTTTATTAAAATGAAATTATACTAAAGATAACTTTTACTATCTTTAATGTTTTAAAACCTTTGAGTTTTCTAACAGTTTGTGAGCCACGTTTTACATCTGCTTACCCAGTAAAACTAAAGGAAACTTGGATATTTCACATGTACAGTAGCACCGCTAGCTTGCCTCCATGGAGCTTATGAGGAGTGTTCCTGAGTGAACAGTGTCAGTAAGCACACCGTTCTTTTGACTGAAGTGACTGAACATGAACATATGAATGACGTAGTGATCATTTTCTGAGATCACTCATCTGATCTGATCTTTTCCAGTCCATCAGATTAGATGAAGGCACTCTGGCCGCCGTGCCTGTATAACTCTGGCACATGTAAAGGGCTACACGGCCAAATGCAAGGACAGCGATGACCATGGCTATATGGCCGTTGCACAGTTTGTACCCTAGAATTGCACGTAGTACAAAAAGGTAACCCAAGTTTTAAAACTGAGATTAGGCCCTGCTGTTACTTTCAAACTCAATGGTCTTAATAAACAGTATAATAACTGAGTCTAAGTTAATAAACAGTCATAACAGTTTATTTACAGAAAAAAACTAAATTTCCATTTGAGGCTCTTTTGAGGGACTACCCTATGTTGGTGCTGTGGGTTCTATCACTCTCTTTAATATAGTGTAGCACAGTACTGATACTAAGTACATTTTTCTATTACTATTTTTGTATGTTTAGGTGAATGCAGGACTTTTTCTTGTAGCACAGTGTCCTTAAATTGTGGTATTACTACCTGAATAATTAATCTGACTGCATGTTGATCTGCTGATATGAAGAGACTAATTGAGTTCACACTGCAGGGGAAAGAAGAGGAAGGGGACAAAGCAAAGCTTGCTCAGGCTCCTCTTGTGTTTTCAGTTTTTTGTTTTCAGATTTTGCTTGCAGCTCCACACCCTCAGATTCACTTTCTGCTTTCATGAAACCACAGCATGGCCACAGTTAATGATAGCTGGTACAAATTGCACTGTTGCTGTGGCCAGGGTAGACACATTAATTGTGTATTACATGAGAATGAACCTCCTAATGAACCACTAGTTTGGCCATACGCTCCCAGGGCTATTCCTTCTGAGGAAAGCTTTGTCATGGTTTGAGCTAGATGGTTACAAATATAATTAATGCAGCCAATAAAAAATAATTAGAGTCTATTGTTATCTTTACTCTGGTACCATGTGAATTACCTTATACATAATCACTGTGTATTAAAGGGAGATTTGGCTGCTGTATGTATCCTCATGGAGTCACAACACCGTCAACAACATAATTACAGTAGCATGTTGTCAGTAATAGTAAACTATACACCACAAAAAGGCACTGTAAAAGCAGTCAGGGGGAAACTGAGACAGTGATACAGTATACTGTATGTAATCCTTTGTGTGTTTCACTGTGTGTGTGCGTGTGTGTGTGTGTGTGTGGTGTGTGTGTGTGAGAGAGAGAGAGAGAGAGAGAGAGAGAGAGAGAGAGTGAGTGAATACTCATGGGAGAACAGTGGATTACTGCTGGTATTTTGTTTAGACAGAATTAATACATAATGTGCTAATATTCAACACCTCATGCTTTGCAAGGAAATTTATGCAGATGAGGTAAACCTCTACTTTTCTGCTGATATTTGCATAATCTTCACATAGCACAGGGTCCCACTGTGGCAGGAGTGAAGTAATGAAATGGTTTCAGCCACTTGAAATTGAAGAATTTTCAAGACTCTCTCTCCCTCTGTCACTGTGTCTTTTCTTGACCAGATGAACAGAGATAAGTTCTTAGCTATTGCCTGGCATCAAGGAACAGGGTGAACTATGCTACAATTCATCAAACAGGATTTTGTGGAATCGACTAATAATTTTTCATTAACATGATGAAATTATCTACTTTTTTAAAATATTTTTTAGGCTAATTCAACTTAATAGTTAAAATTGTATATTCAGACTAATTCAGCACAACATGAACTGTTGAATGAGTTGAATGCAATACTGAGATGAATTTTACACAAAGCAAAACTGGCACGTTAGCAACTGAGTGTATAGTTTTAAAGATTTAAATCATCAAAAGACCCAAAATGAGCCGAGTGCAAGAAACAGAGTAGGAAGTCATAAAGTTTTTTTTAGAGGGACTACCACATAGGTTGGTTTTGATATTGTCATGGGCTTTGTTTACAGTACATGAGGAAAATAAAATAATTCAAATACAGCACTCTGCAAATGTCTTAGGCCACCATTGGTTTTGCTGTCTTAGCAAGGTGGTGATGATAATTTATATTTAGTTTCTTTATCAAGATAAAGCCAGAACATATAGGAAGCATGTACACAGTATTAAAAAACAAAAAAATTTCAAAACAAATATGGCTTCTACAGTCTAAAGTATTTACTGTGACCTCCCTTTGCACTTAGCACAGCTTGAATTCTTTTGGGGAGACTTGAAACCATGACAGACCCTCCATTATGTTTTACTTAAGGCTGCAAGCTTTCATTCTTCCACCTCTCTTTTCCACCTCTCTCCAACTCTCAATGATTGGACCCAAACATTTCAAACCTCCATTCATCACTCCATGAGACTCTTTTCCACTGTTCTTCACTAAAGTCTTTGCGAACTGTTGCTTATCTCAGCCTTTTCTCCCTGTGCCCCTTCTGAAAAAGTGGTTTCTTGGCTGCTGTCCTTCCACAAAGGCCATTCCTGATCAAGTGTCTTTGGATTGTGGAAGGATCAACTTGGCATCAAGATGAAGCTGCCAGATGTAGAGCCAGGTCCTTGCTGGATTTTCTACATTCTCTCCAATAAGAAACTCTGAGAAACATCTCATCAGATTTGAACAGTTTATTTGTTTTTCCGATCCTGTTTTTGTCATTGACCTCTCTGGATTCTTCGACTTATGATAGAGGGGATCATATGTCAATCAGATTGTAATGTTCACTAAGGCAAAAATGTGATTTTGATCTGTTTAAATAAACTTTTCTTTGATTTGTATTAGACAGAAGCTACCAGATGTCAATCCGGTATTTAATTTTGTTGTTATTTTGCTGGTATTGTATGTGTCACAATCAATTTCTTTAAAAGTAACACCTTTAACCTCTTTTTTTATGCTGGCTCACTGAAGTTATTTTACAGCACCCTGTCTGTATGATCTGTATGCAATATTACACTCTCACTCCTAAAAGACAGTTGACCTGACTGTGTATTCACCTCTTAATGCATTTTTAATTTCAGGGAGTTCAGCCACTGGAAGGTGAACAGCCTGGCCACAGAGAAGAGAGATTTCCTCAAAGCTCCATTGCCCTTAGCACCCGAGTTTCTACGCAACCTGCGGTTACTGGGGCGGCGACCAACCCTGCAGCAAATTAACGAGAACCTCATCAAGAAGTACGGGACCCACTTCCTAGTTTCTGCTACCCTGGGAGGTAAGCAAGGACTGCAGGTGACGCCATCACCTTTATTCTTGGGTTAGAAAGCATCTGGACACATACTCATTTTATTTCTCAGAGGAGTTACAGGCTGTATTAGAGTAGTGCTGGAGAGTTATAGAATCTATCCCTGTTTTGTCAAGGAAATAATTCCATACTGTACCTTGCACCTGAAGCAGTCAACCAAGGTTGTTTTTGTCGGGAAGTTTCTTCTCATCTTTCCTTCTGATGAACATAACTCACAGCTTCAAGAACCTACAGCACCTACAAAGCAGACGGGGGATTAAATGTACTTGTTTCTTAGCATCTGTCTGTCTTTATTGGATTCGAGCTCACTCTCTAACTCCGAGGAAAGAAGTAACTCACAAAAGTGAATTGCCAGCAGTATCGACTGTGTGCATGACCTCATAGATAAATTGCTGATCCCGGTCATCATGTAGCAGCGTAGATATATGGGGACATGTAGAAAATTAAGAGTAAGTATAAACATCTCTAAGCCTACAAAAGTCAGAGGGAGATTTACAAGCCCAGTGTTCTTCGATCAGTCAGGTCCTATAATATACAGTGAATTTATAAAATAGTAGGAGATTCTTACTGATTTGTCAGTGATATAATGGACAGTAAATTATGACAAAAACACTGTCAAAATTACAGACATCTTCAGCCAGCAGTGTTGTCAGACCCTGCTTTCCGACACACACAGTCTCCTTCAGTGTTTCTGATATTATGTGTTAGGACTGTATCCATAGACACCTAAGTTTGGTGCCACTCATCAGTGGATATATGCACTGGAGCATCAGCGTGGGAGACAGAGCAGAGATAACTGCAGTGACAGAATGATAGTTAGACTCTATATGTAATTAAGAGCCTCAGCTAAATGGGCTGAGCCAGTCTGCATACTGATTAGACTGGATGAGCGAACACACAAATCCCTGTTTTTTTTTCTTTTGTTCTGATGTATTCATCTTTTTCATTTTTTAGCTTTTAATGTCTTTCCAGCTGTTATCGCACACCAGTGTTGGGAAGTAACACATTAATTAGCAATGTAATTACAATGTTGTGATTCAGCAACAAGTAGTGTTCATAAGAATTTACAATTTAAAATTCTGTAATTGCATTACAGCTGCAGGTAAAAAGAAATACCTTGCCAGACATCAAACAAGCACTGAAATGGTTAACTGAGTACACTGCAAATTAATAAATAAATAATAAAGTCAACATAGTTAGATCTCTAACTGAAAAACTGATTTTTGATCCATAGGAGAAGAGTCTTTGACCATCTTTCTGGACAAGCAGAAGCTGAACAAGAAGTCAGAGGGTAACAGCAACAGCTCAGTGGTGTCTCTAGAGTTGCTCCATCAGCTGGCAGCTTCCTACTTCACAGATCGAGAGAGCACCCTAAGAAGACTGCACCACCTCCAGATTGCCACCTCTGCTATCAAGGTAATGTACACATGCACACAGTGAGCGACTGAACGTACCTAAAGATATGTGTCTAGATGAGGCCCTGGAAAAATGTCCTTTCCAGCATACAGCACCTATGCAAAGGCACTGTTTATTTGCCATATGTAGAGTTGTGTTTGCAGCTCTTCAGATCCACAAACAACCACGCATCATGATAGACGTTCAAACATTAACTGTCCTATAAAACTGTCCCTCTGGGACATATGACTATGTGCTGCAAGTATAACAAATAGCTCTGTCTGTTCTCAGTGGGTACACAGAAACTCTTTATTTTAAAGATTATTTTCAAGGTGCATCATTGCTCAAAATTTGGGGGAGAGACAGAAGAGAGCATGCAAGGATGTCTATTTTAATGACAGTTTGTATTAAAACAAAGTGTATTGCAGCTCACAGAGGACCTAAAACATGGCAAATATCAATATTCTTTGAAATCTTACAGGGAAACATGCATTTATGCCTCCGGTACTCTACTATCTGTCATCTGGGCTGGGTTACAGGTTGTATGTGTATGCAGCTGTATCATAGAAGAGTTCAAAACACCAGGAACATATGATCAGTTTTGTTTAAAGCTGTAAGATTCCAGTGAAAGTGGCTTCAACTCTAGAGTTCTCAGTGGCTCATCAGTCTTTTACAACACAACAGTTTTTTTGCTTCATTTTATTGACCTACACACTTGACATTCCTTGACGTGATGAATTGTTAATCTACCACCAGGCTTTTACCAGCTTTTTCATCATTAACTGCAAATGGTTTTTACTGAAAATCCACTCAAAGAACAGAGAAACATAAAAACTGTTATGTCGCTGTCTGGTTTTACCTTGTTTAAATCATCTTATTGTTTTCCCCTGATGACTGCAAGCAAAGCATAACCAAGCAATACATTTTTCACATCAGAAAAGATCTGTTGGATTTCATGCGATGACAGCAGGTGTGTGGGAGGGTGGACTGTGCTTTCATGCTTCAACTTAAATAGCAAATCTAACTGAAACGAGTAATTACTAAGTGTAAACTTTGTGTGTACATTGATTAGGGCAGCTCATTTCCAAGTGGTGTTCCCACAAATCCTTAAAGAGGTTGTGCATGAGAAACAGAACACAAAGACCTCCTGAACTCAGTATGAATTACTTTTATCTAGGGACCAAAGTTTCATTCTTATGAGAACATAAAATTGAATGCAATGACTGAGGAAAAAAAAGTTTGTTGTGCAAGATTTTTCTAACATTTTAGCTATAAGGAGTGATAGGGAGTGAAAAGCATCTCAGCAAACTTTGCTACAGTGCAGGCTGTGCTCTACTGTCTAATAAATAAACAACTTGTGCATATTAGAGCATTGCAACTTTTATATTTGTTGACAAACTTTATTTCAGCAAAGCACCACTTTAATATCTGAGCAAAAACAATAAACAGGAACTTTTTGCTTACTGAAGCATGCTGAGTATGAATGATGCATCTCAGTCATAAGACTAAGAGGACAGAAACAAATTATCTGGCAAGCCTGAATTCAATTGAAATCCCGCTCGATTTGATACATTAGTGTCTGTGGGGAGAGACCAGTGAGTGACTGTTGCACTAAAACGATTAATTATCTTATACAAAGAAGTCAACAATAGCAGATAAATAAGCAATTCCCAAACATGAAGATCTTTTCCCCACATCACTTAGTCTGTTTTTAATCCTCCAGTGATATTATTCTGTGAAATGCACTTTGCACTTTTACAGATTAAGCAGCACACTACTTACCAGGTCTATTAAAGGGAACTTTTTCAGTGTTTGTGCACACACTGTGGATCTGGGTCTCTGCTGCAGCTACTGACTCACACACTATGAAATCAGACAAGCCTGGTCCGTTATTTGTGGGCTTCCTGTCAGAAAACATGGTTCAACAATCCATTCAAGATTAGCCTCCACCTTCTATGTAAGAAGCAGGTACATTAGCATAATGCTTTTTTTTTCTTTTTGCCACAAGCACAGGACTCACTAGCATCATGCAAGCTAAGAGCTAAGCATGGAACTGCTACGTTGTAAGCTGGGTCAGTAAAACACGAGACTGGCTGCAAAATGTTCCCTGAAAGATGGATTGATAGGCCCTGGGAATGCCAAACCCCTAACTATTATATGCTATTAGTTTATTTAGCTGTGTAGCAATATGCAGAATCATCATTTCAGTATGTCCTTGTCAGTAAATGGAAAAAAATGACATGCTCTGAGTGTTCAAAGTATGGGGATATGGGGGGCTTCGCTCCAACAAAAAGACCCATTCTCCCCCACATGATATTCTAATTAATAACTACTAATATTCTTAATGATACAGTAAAAGAGAAAGATGCTATTTGAAATCTTAAGTCTTTATATGCTCTGTATTCAGCTGTGGTCACTGCACCTGACTGCCTGCTTACAGTAATGCCTGTAACTTGATTGGCAGGGACATGAACAGTGTAATTTTCATTTATCATGGCTCATGGGCTGCTTTCATGTGATGTTTTGTGTACCTATTTGTAATTATTGCATCTGAATTTCGTGTCAGATCAGCAATTTCCAACAGCCAGCTACTGGAGTACACCAGTCTGACAGTGTCTTTACTTCAGCCGCCAACATTCTCCCATTGTGATTTTTCAATGGAATGATAAAATTATAAATTAAATTAGTCTGGAAACTACAACTTGGCCTGAATTTTTACAAAGTGAGCTTTTTAGTTTTTGTAATATTTACTTAGAGTTAAAGTTGTCTCTCTTCCTTTATAATATGGGGTCATCACATTTTAATGAATAAAATGTTCTGTCCCCAATTAATTTAATAGAGAACACTAATTGTTCCAAATATTTGTGCATACTTTAATGCATAAAATGTTATCAACACTGAAACATAATATTACGTTAAACCAAACCAGTTTTAGTTCAGATCTGCTTCGCCCACCTGCTTACTATTGTGCTGGTATCTTAACAGTTAAACACTAGGACAGCAGTGGAAATCAGAAAAATCTAAATGCTACAAATAGTTCAATGCATCTATCAGCAGTAGGTGTGCAGACAACATAGAGGAGGAGCAGACCAGCAGAGTAGGTTCAGGACCACAGCTCACAGTGAGTCAAGTTTAAACACCGTTCATGTTTTACAACATTAAGATAAGGCAGAAGGCAACAGGAAGTTATTACTTCTGCCAAGGAGGTTATGTGTTTCGTTTGTTGGTTAGTATGATTAAGGACAAATGGCTGAATGAATCATCAGCATACTTTGTCAAGGTCAAGATCACAAAAAATAGCGAAAACAATAACACACGCACATACACACAAATTTCCATTTTCAGCAAAAAAATAAAAAAATCATATCTCCATTAAAAGTTATCAATATCATTTTCTTGTTTAAAATTTGACAGACATAGAGTATGTAGTACCAAATTAGGTGTTAATTGCCCGGACTTTGTTCTTCCCATTCAGCTGACTTCTCAGGACTTGCCTTACTCTCTACAAGTACTTGGTAGTTGCTGCTTTCCTTGCGGCCTCTTCATGGTTCCCATTTGCCTGCGGGATCCCACTGTACTTGTAGCTGCCCTCAACATCTGCTATTTTACTTTCTGGTAGTACAATCCCCTCAGTTCTGACTACCTTCCCTCTCCTCGTTACCATTCGGCCACACTTATCCAGTCCGAATGACATTCCGATGTCCTCGCTGTATATCATACTGGCGTGTATCAGTGAGTCAATGTCTTGTTCACTCCTGGCATACAGCTTAATGTCATCCATGCAGAGGAGGTGGCTGATGGTTGCTCCATTCCGTAGTCGGTATCTGTAACCGCTCT